TACGCGACATGCGAGCTTGATGTTGGTGCACGTTCTTGCCAAGCTCTTTGCTTTCACGCGCTTCCCGTTCATGTCAAGAGAGGTTCCCAATAATGATCGTCTCGCTCGAGACATCCTCGCAAAATCGTGAAGTGGTGGGTCGTATTTTGAGGCGCTGTTTGTCAAACGTGGGCGTTTCGCCCGCGACATCCTCCAAAAGAGGAGATCTTGAAATCGCTCGCTTAATTTTCGGATCCTCGAAAATGGGCGTTTCGCCCGAAACATCTCGAACACATGGGATGCCGACGGAGCTCTTGTAAGGCATCTTTTCGGAACGATTTCGGATGACCTCCCGGATGGCCCCAAAATTTAAAATATTGAAAAAATCAAAATGTTTTCAACACTTTCGTTGACTAATCAGCGTTTCGCTCGAGACATCTTCCAAACATTGCCTTCGGACGGGTCCTCGAAGGCGAAACTATAAAAACATTCATGGGCTTTCAACCGTAAAAACATAGCGTTTCGCTTGAGACATCCTCTAAACATGTCTGAACTCGCGCGGAAAGTGAACTCCACCTGATATCTTTTGTGAGTGCTCGGGGTAAGAGCTGTGTCCAAACTCGCGCGGGTATTGAACTCCACCTGATATCTTTTGTGGACGTTCGCGGTGAGCGGTGACTGAAACTGCGCGGATGGTGAATTGCTTTTTGGTATTTTTTGTGGACGTTTGGGGTGAGTGGTACGTCGGAATTTGCGCGGATCGTGAACTCAATCTGGTTCTGTTTGCTGACGTTCGGGGTCAGCGGCACGTCTGAAGTTGCGCGGATAGCGAAATCCACTTGGTACCCCCTGTGGACGTTCGGGAAGGGCGCCTACGCGACATGCGAACTTGATGTTGGCGCACGTTCTTGCCAAGCTCTTTGCTTTCACGCGCTTCCCGTTCATGTCAAGAAAGGTTCCCCAGGTTCTTCAATGCTTGGGGCTTTTTGAGCATCCGCGGATATTTTGCAGCCTCTTGGGAGTTCCAAGGGCATTCCTTGAGTCGCGTTCTGGCGTCTTTCAGCCGCTCCTGGGACGGTCGCCCGGAGCCTTCCAGAACTCTCCTCGCCCTCCCGCCGTTTTCCCGCGTCGTTCTCGCTCTCGTGCCCTCCTCTCTGCCCCCCTCGCCCGGCGCTCTCCTCGCCGCCCTGCTCGCTCCTCGCGGCCCCCTCGCGCCCCCCTCGTGCCCTCCGTGCTCGTCGCGCCCTCCTCGCGTCCTCCTCGCGCCCTCCTCCATGGTCTGGGGGCCCTCGCGCCCTCCTTGCGTTCTCCCGCCCTGCGGGCTGCCGGCGGCCCGCTCCCGCCGCGCCGCCGCGCCGCCAGCTGCTCCCTGTGCTCGGCGTCGGTCTGGGAGCGGAGCCGCTACGCGGCCCTGCAGGGCTCTCGGCGTTCGGAGGAGGAGGGGAGGAGGAGAGAGGTGATGATAATGGTGCTGATGATGATAATGATGACGAGGAGGAGGAGGAGGAGGAGGAGGAGGAGGAGGAGGAGGAGGAGGAGGAGGAGGAGGAGGATGATGAGGAGGAGGAGGATGATGATGATGAGGAGGAGGAGGATGAGGATGATGACGAGGAGGAGGAGCAGAAAGAGGATGATGATGATGATGATGATGATGATGATGAGGAGGATAATGATGATGAGGAGGAGGAGGAGGATGAGGATGGTGATGATGATGAAGATGAGGAGGATGAAGAGGAGGAGGAGGAGGAGGATGAGGAGGATGATGATGATGAGGAGGATGATGATGATGAGGATGATGATGATGCTGATGCTGAGGATGATGATGACGACGATGGTGATGAATGATACTATGATGACGATGATGATGCTGATGGTTGTGAGGATGATGACGTTGTCGATGGTGAAAATGATGATGATCACGATGCTAACGGCGCTGATGATAATACTGGTGTTACTGATGATGACGTTGATGCTGCTGCTGATGGTGCTGCTGATGATACGGTTTTTTCGGGTATTTATGCTGACGATGCTGCTTATGGTGATGATGATGACGATGACGTTTGTGATGATGATGCTGATGATGACGAGGAGAACGATGATGATACTGAATCTGCTTATGACGATGATGTTGATGATGTTATGCTGATGATGACAATGCTGAAGAAGAAGGACAAGATGACGATGACGATGATGGGTTGGTGATGACGATGACGTTGACGATGATAACTATGATGACGATGATCATTATGCTAACGATGTTCATCATGACGCTGGTAATAAGGATGATGATTTTGATTATGATGATGATGTTCATTCTGGTGATGAGGATCATGATGATTCCGATGATGATGCAACTGCTCATGATGACGATGATGACGACGATGATGACGACGATGATGATGACGATGATGATGATACTAGTGATAATGCTGATGACGGTGATGATGATGACGATGAAGATGAGTAATACGATGACGATGGTGGTGATCATGATGGTGGTGATGATGATGACGTTGACGATGACGACGTTGACGATGATGAATCTGATGATGATGGTGATGATGCTGATGACGATGTCGATGATTTCGCTGATGGTGGTGATGATGATGATGATGATGATGATTGTGATGATGCTGACGACAATGATGGTAATTTTGATGATGAGGATGGTGCTGATTCTGATGATCATGACGATGACGATGATGATGCTGATGATGATGCTGATGATGGTAAGGATGATGAAGAAGAATAGTGAGACGATAATGGTGATGGAGGTGATGATGACGATGACGGTGACGATAATGACTATGATGTTGATTGCGATAATCACGATGATGACGATGCTCATAATGATGCTGGTGTTAATGATGATGTTGTTGATGCCGTTGCTGATGGTGCTGCTGATGTTGATATTTTTTTCTGGTTCTGGTGATCATGCTGATGATGACGACGCTGCTGATGATGATGCTGATGATGAAGATGATGAGGATGATGATGTTGAAGATGATGGTGCTGGCGAAGAAGAATAATGTGTTGACGATGATGAAAATGATGATGATGGTGGTGGTGATAATGCTAATGATTTCGACGCGGATGAAAATGACGATGGGGATCATAACGATGCTTGTGATGGAGCCAGTGTTCATGATGATGACGGTGATGTTGCTGCTGATGGTGCTGCTGCTGATGTTGCGTGTTCTGGTAATTCTGATCATGATCGTGATAATGCTGCTGCTGATGATGATGATGATGATGATGATGATGATGATGATGGTGATGATGCTGCTGATAGCGATGATGCTGACCATGATGATGTAGAAGAAGCATGCTACGGTGACAATGATGATGATGATGATGATGATGATGATGATGCTGATGATGATGATGGTGGTGGTGGAAGTGGTGATGATGAGGATAATGATGAAGTTGACGATGGTAAATCTGATGGCGATGGTCTTGATGACAACGACGCTGCTGATGATGATGATGATGATGTTAATGATGATGACGTTAATGCTGCTGCTGATGGTGCTGCTGATGATGCTGTTTCTCCTGGCAATGATGATCATGCTGCTAATTGATGTTGACGATGCTGATCATGGTCTGGTGATTATGTTGCTGCGGATGATGATGATGATGATGCTGATGAGGAGGATGATGGTGCTGCTGGTTCTGGATGGTGATTATGGTGATAGATCTGATGCTGATGCGGATGCTGATACTGATGATGACGACGATGACGATGACGTTGACGATGACGATGATGATGACGATGATCATGATGATGCTGCTGGCGATGATGGTGAGGCTGCTAATGATGACGTTGATGACGATGACGATGAGGATGACGATGCCGATGAGCATGACGATGATGATGACGATTATGATGATGATGATGTTGTTGTTGTTGATGATGTTGATGATGATGCTGGTGGTGATGATGATGACGATGATGATGCTGATGATGCTTATGATGATGATGATGCTCAATTTGCGTTGAGGCGGTGGATCAGGAGCAGGCGGGAGGGAGGAGGAGTAGAAGGCAGGAGGAGGAGGAGGAGAACGGGCAACCAACGCATCGGTGGCGTGAGGAGTTGGAGTGCGACGAGCAGGAGTAGCGAAATGCGAAACAAGCATAGCGAACAAAACATGACGAGGAGTGTGGGCCTCATCAGCATCCGTGCCTTCAAGAGCTGGAACACGACGATCCAGATGAGCGCATTGCGAAATCAGCAAGACTAGGAGCAGGACCAGGATGATGCTGCTGCTGATGCTTCTGACGATGATGATGTTGATGCTGATGGTGATGCTGCTGCTGATGATGATGCTACTGATAGTTGTAGTTTTGGTGCTGCTGATGATGGCGATGGCGATTCAGCTAATGATGATGCTGATAATGAAAGTGATGAGGGTCATGATGCTGATACTGACGATGACTCTGACACTGACGATGACGATGACGATGATGGTGATGATGATAATGATGATGATGGTGCTCATGATCGTGATGATGATGACGATGATGATGATGATGATGATGATGATGATGATGATGATGATGATGATGATGATGATGATGAAAGTGCGCCAGTGAATGGGGGGGGGTTCGGATCCCCCCCCCCTCCCGCCCTTTTCGCCGGAGAGGGGGGGCCGGGGAGGGGGGGCCTCTCTCGCTTCTCCTTTCTGCGCCAGAGAGGGTGTGTAGGGAGTACGGAGTTGGGAGTAGGGAGTGGTGAGTAGTGAGTAGTAGTGGGTAGTGAGTAGGGGGTGGCGAGTAGTGATTAGTGAGTGGTGGGTAGTGGGTAGCGCGTAGTGCGTAGTGAGTAGTGAGTAGTGAGTAGTGAGTAGTGAGTAGAGAGTAGCGAGTAAGTAGTGAGTAGTGAGTAATGAGTTGTGACTGCTGAGTAGTGCGTAGTGTGTATTGAGTAGTGACTAGTGAGTAGTGAGGAATAGAGACTAGTGGGTAGTGGAAGTGGGTAGTGTGTAGTGAGTAGCGTGTAGGGAGTAGCGAGTAGTGAGTAGTGAGGAGCGAGTAGGGCGTAGTGAGTAGGGAGTAGTGAATAGAGAGTAGTCAGTAGTGAATAGTGGGTAGTGATTAGTGAGTGACGACTAGGGAGTAGCGAGGAGTGAGTAGTGAGTAGTGAGTAGGGAGTAGGGGGTAGGGAGTAGTGAGCAGTGAGTAGTAAAAAGTGGGTAACGAATAGTGGGTAGTGAGTAGCGATTAGTGAGTAGTGAGTAGTGGGTAGTGAGTAGTGACTAGTGACCTGTGACTAGTGACTAGAGACTAAGTAGTGACTAGTGAGTAGGGTGTAGTGAGTGGTGAGTAGTGGGTAGTGAGTTCGGGGAGTGAGTAGTGAGTATTGAGTAGCGAGAGTGGGAGTAGCGAGTAGTGAGTACTGAGGATTGTGTAGTCAGCATTGTCTAGGGAGTAGGGTGTAGCGATTAGCGAGTAGTGGGTAGGGAGTAGTGATTTTGTGGGCAATGAGTTGTGAGTAGTGAGTAGTGGATGAGTGGGTAGTGGGTAATGAGTAGTGATTAGTAAGTAGGGAGTAGGGAGTAGTGAGTAGTGCTTAGTGAGTAGTGAGTAGTGAGTATTGAGTAGTGTTGGTAGTGAGGACTGGGTAGTGAGGAGTGAGTAGGGAGGAGGGAGTGGTGAGTAGGGAGTAGTGAGTTGCGAGTAGTGGGTGGTGGGTAGTGAGTAGTGGATAGCGAGTAGTGGTCGTGAGTAGTGAGCAGGGGGTAGTGAGAAGTGAGTAGCGAATAGCGAGTAGTCAGTAGTGGGTAGTGAGTAATGAGTAGTGAGTGCTCTTTGGGGCTGGGGTTGGTAGTTGGGGTTAGGGTTAGGGGTTTGGGTTAGGGTGAGGTAGGGATAGGGGTGGCGGGGGTCGCGCGTTCTGGAGTTCAGGGGGCGGCGTGCGCAGGAAAGGGGGGGAAGGGGGGGGGGTGCGGCCAAAGGGGGGGAGGGGGGGGGGGGGGGTTCGACCCCCCCCTCTGTGAAAAGGGGGGGGGGGGGATGGGGTTCCCCGACGACGGATCGGGGAAAAGGGGGGGGAGGGGGGGGGTCCCCGACGACGGGATCGGGGAAGGGGAGGGAGGGGGGGGGGTCCCCGACGACGGATCGGGGAAAGGGGAGGGGGGTTTCCCTCCCCCCCCCGCCTTGGGGAGATCCCCCCCCTTGGGGAGATCCAGCGGCGCACCCTCCAGCGGCGCACCCTCGATGATGATGATGATGATGATGATGATGATGAGGATGATGATGCTGATCATGATGATGATGATGCTGTTCATGATGATGATGGTGAGGATGATGATGCTGATGCGTATGGTTGTGGTGCTGCTGATCATGCTGCTGATGATGATGATGATGGTGATGCTGCTGATCATGACGCTGATGACGGGCGTGATGCTGATGATAATG